TGTGTGTGTAACGGAGATTTATCCTTGAGTGGTCGTGGCCTGTAAAAGAGCCACAATCCCCTGGGTCATATTGCTGACTTCCACTGCTGCAAAAAGACGCGTACAACTTTGTAATTTTAACGCACACCCAGTTGAATTATAAATGCAAGTCACTCTATCGCTAATGCCAGCGTATGGCCTGACTGACGCTTGATCTGCAACTTATTAGACCTTTTAAATAAAGCATGCTCAATAAGTGTAATAAGATGTTACTGAACCTATTTGAGGAAATATGTAACATGGCAGCAAGTTTCAGTGCAGCAAGAGAAAACTTCTCAGTTCTGATTGAATGCATCACAACACTAATGCAAAACTAAACTATTTAATGAGTGACTGAACCTGCTGATACTTTTCTTTCTTATCTTGCAGGAGAACGACAAGAAGAGGGATCGTCTCACATTTTTTAAATTTGTGTTCCTTTGACTTTATTTTCTCTTGAAACTTCTCCTCATCAGACATTAATCATAAGCTCATAAGCCTTTAAAACGATGCCGTCCAACACTGTCACCAACACCAACACTACTGCATTCAAAGCATCAGACTTCACTGATTCACCTGGAAACAGAATGGTAAGAAACGTGTGAAATACCAAAGTAAGAAATCGCACTTCTGGTATTTGCAAGACTCCTCTGAAGCTTGACATGTTGATCAATGACTCAGGATTTCTAAACTTTCTAGCTAGTGGGTTCAATGAGTTCATTCAGTCCTGTTTTGGCATTGTGAATGACTCGAGCTGAGCTGTTGATTAATGTGGATTTTACTGTCCATCACAAAAAATGGCAGGTTTTTTTTTTTTAAAGCTCCCAAACTCACCAGAGCTGATTTAAAAGGAGATTAATTACCCCAGAGCTGATCCAACAGTGATGTAATGCCATGTGTACTCAGTGTTTTCTGGTAAAAGCACATGTATGTACAGTAGGTGTGCGTGAATGTGCATGTCGATGAGGTTGGATTTTAAGTCAAATTCCTGTTTTATAGTATTATTAATGTTAATACATGGACAGAGACAAGAAATGTGGGTTGTAAAGTCACTTCAGCTCAAAGCCAATTAAAATCTTTCCAAATTTTATGAATGGAGTTAATTGAACAGTCAAGCTAATGCTTTACTGATCAATGCAATCTAACGACTTACAGACAGACTTGCTCATATTGATTCCTGATTATTGAAGACATAGTCCAATGTAACCTGAACAATCCAACAGTGCCATGTCATCTTTCATGATGCAGAGAGACTCATTATTACAGCCCCTGTGTAACTGCAGCATCACGGAAGCTTCACAGTGGCAGCAACAGCAGCATCACTGTTGTGAGGTGCAGCTGTATTATGTGACATTTGCTGTTGTAATGGTGGTTGGTGACGTGGGCGTTGGCTGGTGTAGGTTGAGCTGGAGCTGGAATGGCTCTACAGCTCTTTTACTGGGGGGATCTGTCCTCTTCCTCTACATTCCCATTACACAGTACTGCCCTTAGTCCTGTTGCCTGGCAACAGACATTGCCTTAAATAACCGGCTACCCAGACGGAAATAGTGTAGAGATATTGGCAGTGTGGTAGGGTTGACTCCAGGCAACGACAAATCATATTTCAGGCTTTTCTGTTGTTTTTGTAGAAAACATTAGAGTGAAGCTGTGTGTGAAAATGGCGTGTTATGTTCATTCAATACATCTGAGCTCTAAGGTTGGGAATTAGATGAGCAATGTGGTGTAGGCAGTTCCAGCAGAGATAGCCAGGCACCACTGAATTGTGTCATCCGTGTAAGTGGTTCCCAAATGAGCCTGCACACCAGGCTGCACTCAAACCGTGCCATTATCTATGCAAATTCTGCTGCACTAGTAAGGGAAAAAACCAAGGCACCAGGCTTTCCATTAGTAATCAGACAATGAGCTGGCACCATCTGAAAAACACATTCTCTCAGCGTCAAAACCGTCAGCATCTACACTTAAGATCACATTAACCTCTGTATTTTTATCTGTAAATTCATAGATTAATATTCTCTGATGAGGTTTCCAGATGTTTAGAGCCATTTTTATCCATTATAACCCTGTGCTCATTAATCAAAGCTTCAGGCACTGTGATCACATCCATCTCTTTATGCAGATTAATTTATCGTCCCAAGACACTAATGGTTGGTGGATTTATTCCATTTTAGCAGGAAACACAGATGCAACATTAAACGACCTTTGAAATTTCCATATGTTTATTAACAGCCTTCTTTAACAACTGTTGGTCTGTTGTGCAGGTTTTTAAAAGAATATTTTTATTTCATTTTTTATAACAATATAGTCAGACAACAAGAGAGGACAAAGAAGGTGATTAGGCATTGCAAAGGTCCCTGTCTGTGACCTGCAAACTTGTAACTATGTCAAATCATTATTACAGCCCCTGTGTAACTGCAGCATCACGGAAGCTTCACAGTGGCAGCAACAGCAGCATCACTGTTGTGAGGTGCAGCTGTATTATGTGACATTTGCTGTTGTAATGGTGGTTGGTGACGTGGGCGTTGGCTGGTGTAGGTTGAGCTGGAGCTGGAATGGCTCTACAGCTCTTTTACTGGGGGGATCTGTCCTCTTCCTCTACATTCCCATTACACAGTACTGCCCTTAGTCCTGTTGCCTGGCAACAGACATTGCCTTAAATAACCGGCTACCCAGACGGAAATAGTGTAGAGATATTGGCAGTGTGGTAGGGTTGACTCCAGGCAACGACAAATCATATTTCAGGCTTTTCTGTTGTTTTTGTAGAAAACATTAGAGTGAAGCTGTGTGTGAAAATGGCGTGTTATGTTCATTCAATACATCTGAGCTCTAAGGTTGGGAATTAGATGAGCAATGTGGTGTAGGCAGTTCCAGCAGAGATAGCCAGGCACCACTGAATTGTGTCATCCGTGTAAGTGGTTCCCAAATGAGCCTGCACACCAGGCTGCACTCAAACCGTGCCATTATCTATGCAAATTCTGCTGCACTAGTAAGGGAAAAAACCAAGGCACCAGGCTTTCCATTAGTAATCAGACAATGAGCTGGCACCATCTGAAAAACACATTCTCTCAGCGTCAAAACCGTCAGCATCTACACTTAAGATCACATTAACCTCTGTATTTTTATCTGTAAATTCATAGATTAATATTCTCTGATGAGGTTTCCAGATGTTTAGAGCCATTTTTATCCATTATAACCCTGTGCTCATTAATCAAAGCTTCAGGCACTGTGATCACATCCATCTCTTTATGCAGATTAATTTATCGTCCCAAGACACTAATGGTTGGTGGATTTATTCCATTTTAGCAGGAAACACAGATGCAACATTAAACGACCTTTGAAATTTCCATATGTTTATTAACAGCCTTCTTTAACAACTGTTGGTCTGTTGTGCAGGTTTTTAAAAGAATATTTTTATTTCATTTTTTATAACAATATAGTCAGACAACAAGAGAGGACAAAGAAGGTGATTAGGCATTGCAAAGGTCCCTGTCTGTGACCTGCAAACTTGTAACTATGTCAAAGACTATATTTGTATTCCTGTTAACAAAAACAGCGACTACATAGTTTACGGTTACACATCAACAAATGGTTACATAGTACCACATCATACAGCACTCAGCCATCAGGGCAACCAACCCCAAACCCCCTTTTCCTCTTCACACCAAGGTCAATTTAGCAGCTCATCTGGAGCTTTTGGCCATATCACAAGATCTTCCTCAACAGAGTCATGAGATGTTCAAATTTTGCTAAACTAATTCAAATAGAGATCAATATAAACACACAGAAAAATCCAAGCAACCCAAAATGCATCGTTTACAGATCACGTGAGAACATTCCCTCCACTTATTGGTTAAAGGAGTCTGGGGCGGGATCAAGAAAGTAAGCACATGAAGATGATCCTTGTTATCTACCAGTGAACAGTCCTATGAAAGAAATTTGCTCTGTAACATGGAGAAACAGCATAGTCGGAATTTGCGCTTAACTGTTGTAATTATTTGGGCAATAAACTAAATAAAACTATGCCAAACAGAATGCTGAATATATTTTTTTGAAAAAGTAGTAAAAAAACAATACTGCTTCATACTTTGCAAAGACAATGTGCAGCCCACAGTCGACTGTACAACAACATGCTGAAACGCTTAGCTCAAACTTGCACTGCACTCCTTGTAATTGGTTCAGATTAAGGTCGGATCATGTGCACACCACAGACCAACTGCTCCAGAGTTCACTTGGAAACGTACCGAGACCATCTCCGGGAGGGAAGTTGTCGGTGCAGTTGTTGTTGTCTACACCCGAGTGCAACTGTTGTGTCCACACCTGCCCAAATGAACCACAGCAAGAGCAAAACAAACTGTAGTTTGATTCAACCTGGCTAAACAAGTCAGGTGTGAAAGTGCCCTAAATTGCAATTTTGCAGTTTCCAGAATGACCATTTAAGTTTACATATGCAGTATAGTGTGTTCTATCTCTAGGTTGCATCGTATCGGAATTCATTTACTTCATTAAAAGTGTTGCACCTTTCTCTAGTCTCATCATTTAACTATCTGTAATTTAGTCACTGAATTTTCTCGCTGTATTTGCATATACGTAAAGCCATGTTGCACAGTAATCTTCTCTCATGTTATTCTATACCACACTGCCTAAGATTTAAACAGTACACACCAATATGTCAGCAGGGGGTCTGCCTTACAGTGTGGAAAGCCCATTTATCTTCGAGGGAATCTTACATTCAATAGTGAAGGAATTTAATAAGGACACAGCCATCCGCCCTCATCACTGCAGCTGTTAGGAATGGCCTTACAATCTCATTTGCATTCAGACCTGGTGCTGGTGGTCAATATTGAAACTCAAAGCATCTACATTAGGATCATCTTTTCTCCCATCAACCCCAGGGGTACTTGGTGGTGGCTGACATGGGGCTTTGTTCACGGGGGTAGCCAGTTTTATTAATCAAAGGGAAATTGCAGCAGAGGAAGGTGGGGGCTGGACGACGTCTTTGTAATGGTGTCAAGAGGAGATTGTCTGTGGAAGGTCAGTGCTGCATCCGCGGGGCTTTCACATCAGCTTAGTTCAAAGGAATGTGTCATTCAGTTTCTATCTGTCTCATTGTCCACTCAGCCAAAGACACTCAAGAACCTGCTGCAGTCCCCCCCCTCCACCAGATGATCAAGTGTTTGAGTGTGGTGCAGGTTTGTGTGTGTCCTGCTGCATCTTTGGACTCAGATGAAACTGCCACTTAGTTTACTGTATGCACAGATACAATCTTTCATAACCTGGAAAATCGCAATATCTTACAGTATGTGCATCCGGACCTTAAAAGTAAACTTGACATTCCCATAAGTAAGTGTACTGTTAATTCAAATCTTGCAGAATACAGTGTCCAAATCATGGTGTGCTCTTTTTTTGTTCACAGAGTGAAAGCACAATCCCGGACATGGACCCGATGAAAGAGGAGAAGGCAGCTAAAAGCAGTGCCTCTTGTAAAGTTGGCAAGCCTGGAAGAAAGCGCAAGCAGTTTCCAGTGAGTGTTGATCTACTACCACTACTACGTCCATGCATGTACTCTATACTTGTTTTCTCAACACCTAATATCAGTTTTCTAAGAAATCAGATAGTTATTGGTCTTTAAATTTATCTTAGCTACTGTCGTCACTGGGCACAACAACAAAAAACGATCTGCAAGTCAGTATTTTTTGAGTGACGTTTCCATATTTAATAAGTAGAGTGAGCCAAATCTGAACCTTAGTGAAGTTAATAAAGTTGTCAATGGCTGATAATGGTGGGATGTAACTAGCCTTAAGCCTAACCTGCTAGAAGAACAAGACAAAGAATTTCTTCATTAACCTCATGTCACAGGGTTTTACGCTTTAAATATTAACTTCTGTTAGGTGATTTTCACTATCGCGGGGCCCGTCTGTGACATTCACTGCCTTAATCTTGTCTGTAGGAGGTTACAAAATGCTTAGCGGGTCACATTACTCAGTAACCTGCACTAACTTCATAGTATAGGTCTGATATTCACATTACACAGCCATTTTATCCAGTGTTGATATGAAAATATGAACAAGTGCAAATTTACCTCATCATGTAGCGCTACACATGGTAGTAAGGTGGTGTGCAGCGCTACAAATTAAGTAGTCAGGGCTGTGTTTTGACCTCTGTCTGCTTGTTTCAACTGCCTGATTTACTGACTGTGACCCCTAACCTCTGGCGGGGGCCTCATGTAGTTTACTGGGTCACTAATCTGTTGAGTAAATCTTTTAGTGACAGCTGTGTGCCTTGTTTGTGCATGATTTTGTGCACTTGTTCGACTTTCTGTTTGTCTCTCCTTGCTTTTGTGTGTGCGTATTTGCCTAAACCCCACCCACCCACACACACACACACACACACACACACACACACACAGCAACTTCTCTTTATAGTTTTGAATTGAAGTGAGAATATTAATGATGTCTGAGCTGTGGGTTTGTTTATTTTCATTCATTGTGTCAAACTGATTTACTAGAGTGCCGTACTTTGTATGAGTGCAACGGTGCAGCGTTTACAGTGAATTTGTTCTCAGTTACCACAATAATCAGGTCGTTTAGAGTTTGGCGGACTCCGAGAAACACTTAAAAACCCACTTTGGCTTCATGTAGCTCTATTTTATGATACAGTAAAAGGTCCACTGAAGTTAATTTTGCATTTCTACTCCACATAATATGCATTGTATTCATTACACAGATGTTTTATTTTTAGGTCTGTGAGTCGTGGGTTTCCATTGTGTTGCCCATTTGTTCTGCAAGAATCGGGTTCCATTTGACTTTTCAAATTCCAGAACAGGTTCCTGTGTTTGCTGGTAGATAGATTGCCTCCTGAGGCATTAATGTCACCTGCCTAAAATGCAAAATGCTGTACCTACATTTACAGGAGATAAAAGCTTCGGTGCTGCTCTCGTCAGTGTTGACAGACTCATCTCACAAGACATGTTCCACTTTCTGCTCCCAGTGACCTAGTACTGGGGTTGTCGTGTTTTTAAGGCTATTTTTATGCAGCTGTAGAGACACTATCACACGTCTTCAAACATTTCAAACAGTTGAACAAATCTTTACTAGGTCTTCTATGTCTTTTTTTAGGTGTAAGAACTGAATGGCTGCCACTTTTAGCTCTCTTTGAAAGCACTCCTCTGCACGGAATGAAACAGTTTAAATGGGCGTTCCAAACTGGAGGGAATGAAAAACTCCTCCGTTGTCAAGCAGCCAACATTCCTCACATATTTCCATGCTGCTGTAATGCTGAATGCAGAACTACAGGAAACTCAGTTGTGTACTGTACCTGATGATCTGTAATGTAATCCTTTCTTCGCTTTCCAAGTTGATGGCTGTATGGCAGATTTACTGGCACAGCCCTTTACATCTCTACTTTTAAAAGAGCTGAAAGGGAAACGCCATAATTCACTGACTCATAAATGCAGAAGTTGAGCTACATGTTAGATTCTGTCTAGATAGAGCTTATCTAATAGAATGATCGACTCACGTTTTCTTTCTAATTTCCTATTTACTCAGCAGAGACTAAAGAGTGTTTATCCTCACTCTAAAATGTCAACTGTTATGTTGTTCTGTCAAATGTTTTTTTTTCCCCAAGCCTAGTAGATGATTTGTTGTAAACCAGCAAGACTATAACGAGTAATATGTCATAACCGCTGATAGACAAAGCACTGTTGTAAATCTTCAAAACATCAAACTGTACATACTGCAACAGCAATAATAATCTCTAAAGCTGACAGATTGCTAGGATGGTAATATTTCAACCTCCTCTTCTCCCGCCCGCAGGTCGAGAGCTGTGGCGCTCTCAAAGACGGTGTGGGCAATAGCTACCCTGGGGTGGGTAGGCCGTCCATGGCACAAGTCCACAATGGAGACGTAGGCGGGCACAGAGACAGGACATCAGACACCTTCTTCCTCAAACAGGAGAAGAGAGAAGTGGAAAACGGAATCCCCAGAGACCCTTCCTCTTGCTGGGCAGAGGACAGTTCCCAAAGTCAGAGCCTGAGCCCTTCACAGGAAAACGGCTTCCTGCCCAGCCGGGAAGAGCAGGACTCAGAGAAAGACAAGGACAACAGCCTGACGACGCCGCGCAAGAAACGAGGGAGGCGGAAACTGGAGCGCCCAACGAAATGTGAGTTTTTGGCTTCTACTTGTTCAGCTACACCATGTTTTCATCTGCTCTCGGGTCATGTGCATGACTAGTACATGATGTTGAGTAATGAAGTGTAAATGGGCATCAGACTGAGTGGGTGCAGCTCTACACACCGACACTGCCAGGATTAGTCAGACAGAGGCCAAGAGTGTTGCATTCAAACTGCTGCACAGTGCAGTGAAGAAGGGACACTAGCAAATATCAGGTCTGCACAGTAAGATAACCACAATTATAATGATATTATACAGGAATGTTTTCAGGCTGTATTTCACTTCTGTTCATTTTTTTTCTGAATGTCTCAGTGTGGTTTACCAAATGCTTTCACTACGCTAAGCGAGTTGACATTTGAATGTGCAGCATACACCATGTGGCCAAGACAACAGGCAACAGCTATGAAAAAGAAAGGGAAGTTGACCTCAGCTAATCTAAATGTCAGATGTGTTTTAGGTAAAGGTTCTATGCACAGCTTGCCTCAGGATTGGAACTATACCTAAAAATATCGAAGTAGTCATTATTTTTATGTAGAATATGAAAGGATGTGCATGTGTGCAGCCATGTAGTAACAAACACCCAGTTGAAACTGATTACTCAGTTGACAGAAAATCAGTCTGCAACTATTTTGATAAATAATTATGATGATGATATTAATGATTTCCTGGTTTCAGCTTCTTAAATGTGAATAAGCACAATGAGCATTTGTAGGGTTTGGAGTGTTGGTCTGAAAAGACAAGCAAATTTAAAATGTCACCTAGGACTTTAGGAACTTGTGCTGAGGATGTTTCACTATTATGATTACTCAGTTGACAGAAAATCAGTCTGCAACTATTTTGATAAATAATTATGATGATGATATTAATGATTTCCTGGTTTCAGCTTCTTAAATGTGAATAAGTACAATGAGCTTTAAAACTTTTGCTGCCTAATGAAGTGTAATTCAAAACAGACATTACTTCTTGTTGTGCATAATGCAGTTAAATATTTTTCCTAATATAATTCTAACTTAAATTGCTTATGAAATTATAGTTATGTAAAATAATCTGATAACCTAAAAAATGCAAAGTTTTCATTTTTACTAAATTAACAGTTTTAAAATGTTTTTGGACCCTGCAGAGCTGAATCTGCACCAGCCACAGTGCAGCAGTAGATCAAATTAGCATTTGAAGATAAGCTAAAGCTAAATCAGGGGACATTCTTGGGAGTGAGTGGTGTTGACAGGTAGTTTTCAGTCCAAGATGGAGATTAACCATATCACTTAACCACCCTCTATTACGCTTTGTTTTTTCATCCTATCTCTCTATGCCTCTCAGCCACGTGTCCCTCTCACTCCTCTCTCGGCCACAGAGACACTGGTTATGACCTTGATCAGGAGTGCAGTAAATAAAACCAGGGGGAGGAGCGACTTGTCTCCTGGCAACAAGCCTCTGTTTGGAGCTGGCAGGTCTCTCTTGCGGCTACCTCCCCGTCAGGGGCCCTGCCAGGTGGATGGCGTTGTGCCCAGAACTCTTTATAAACTGGGTCTGCACTATGTATTCACCTGATCTGTGCTTCTAGGATATGTAACTTTACTCCCACACAGAAACTGGGGATAACCCTGTTTTCCTTTGGTGGACATGGCTTAGAACAAGACTGCTAGCACCAGGTCCAATGCTATTCAGGTTTAGTCTGATACACACAGGTCTTCACAAAAGTTTAAATTCCATATATTCACCTTGATGATGAAAAGTACATGATTTGTTTTACGTTTATAGTTGATAATTACCATCAGGGGTCCCTATCAATGACAACTCTACTTTATATGATCTGCAAAATGATTATTCTTAAAATAAGTTCAACAGTTAAAGTATTAATACACATTGTACTGCACTGAGCTCTTTTTGATGTGAGGCAACGTCCTTTCATATCCACTTGACCATTAGTCTAAAGTGAATGGTCAAATTTTGGATGAGGTACGTTTATCAAGCCAATACAACACAAAAGTGATTTGATTAAAACCAGGTTTATAAAATCATTCAGATACTGTCGCATCCCTCAGTAAGAGTGCACAAACACGTGTTGTTAGCGCTCAGCTAGTGCCCCACTCCTGAAATGTCAGGGTAACAACTCTCTTCCAGTCACAGTATGTCATGTCATACAAATCACTGTCATAGGTAGTTAGAATGACTTACAGGCTTCACAGTGTCTAAGCCGACCACGTGGTTACTGATGCACTTGAACCTGCAGCAGCAGCACACAAACATTCCTTTTTTGTGTTAGATGTTTTACCAAATTCTCTGAATATAATGACATTAATAACATACTAGCGTTTCTTAACATGTCTCGCAGTTTTGTTGGAGTACAGTATGTTGTTTTAAAAGTGAAGTCCTTTTGAGTTTTCAGCTGAAGCAACAAACAGCAGACTATATGGAACAAGCTGAAAGAAAAACTAAGCATGAGCAGTGTTAGCCACAGGGTCAAAGAGCTACAATCAAGATCAACAGCAGATGTAGGTGACACTTCTATTTAAGGCTGCGTGTGTGCAGCCATGTAGTAATGTGTGAACAAAGCACAGTATGGAGAGTTAGTATGCAGGCCTCACACACACACACGAGTGCTCTTTTTCCATCCACTGTGAGTAATTTTAATACCTATGCCACTGCAACATTTGTAGGATTTGGTTTTGGTTAATATGGACATCCAAATTATACATAAGAATGAAAAAAGGCAAACTGCACAGATTGCAGGTTACTGAGTAGTCTTGGTTCAATGTGGCACAAAAAACAGCAGGAGTTTGCATATGCAATCTTTAAAAGAAAAGGGGGGACCACAGAGACTTTTAATTTAAATTTGGGTTCAGCCAAAAGTACCAACAGTAGTACTCAGGGTTTAACAGCTGAATGATCCTTTGGAAGTGCAAACAACACTGTTGCACCTGCATGATGTATAGATTGACCTGACTATGAGTGTGCTAAGCAACTAATCAGACTGGGACTACAATATACATGCAAGGAGATAGTAATGCTCTAACTGAACAAGGTGGAATAAAAGGAGTGCTGGTATATATTCATGTCAGGGAGGAGAGTCCTTGCTCGGGGGGCAGTGTGATGGATCAATAGTCAGCTAAACTGGGTTTCTGTTATCCAACTGGAGGGCACAGGAAGGATTGTCAGCTAAACTGGGTTTCTGTTATCCATCTGGAGGGCACAGGAAGGATTTGAGCTCTGGCTGGAATGCAACTGAGCTCCAGCAATGCCAGAGCTGGAACCTGCTCAAGCTGGCAAGGTAACACGCTTTTTGGGCAATATTAACCAGTCCTGAAAAACTCAGTGACCTTGGCAGTCCGCACCGCCTCGCCGATTTGTTATATAGTCACTTATTCCCAATGAAGGGGGAGAAGACCAGGAGAGGGAGAGGGATGGAAAAAGCAGGGTAGAGGGGGAGGGAGAGACATGGGGTTCAGCTACACATGGAACCAAGTTGAAGAGGCTGCTAAGAGAGCGGATTATTGTTTAGACAGGTCTGTAGGGTGCTTCACTGACAAGCCAGTGTTGGCTGTGTAGAAAACAAGCCATCAGAAGTTGTCCTTAGCCTCTCAGGGCTCAAGTGTCATGATAGTGTTTGGGCTTCAACTCAGCAGATAGTCATGTTTACTCAGGCTGTGCCATCGTGCTAATTTAGGGCACAAATTTGTGGGTGAATGTGTGCATTCTCCACAGCTGTTATATCACCAAGTCTGGGGACTTTTAGAAACACTTGCTGACATTTAAATTAGTGTGAAACAATATTGTGAAAACAATATTGAGGTGTTGGTTTGAGCTTGTGAAGCTGATTTTGGCTTTCTTATTCCTTATCTGCAGCTGCAGGTGAAAAAGTTTTTTTTTATGGATCATGAATCCTGCCTCCCACTCCAGTGTTTCAGTTGGGTGGTGTCCATGCTCCCTGGCTAACCCCTCACTGCTCTGCTGAACATAAGCAAACAATGCTGTTTAAGAATGAATAACATGCCCTTACTGTCATCGACCTCCACATCTTAAATCATGGCCAAGTTAATGGGAAATCCAAACTGCAACTTTTATTGTGTTTAAGGCATTTTATTAGACAGTGTTTTCAGCGCATGTTTCACCAGATGTTTTCTGTGCTATTTCCGACTGTCTTCACCCCGCTGCTGCACCTCTTGTTTTTGGTTTTGCAACTTTCTCTCTCTATATATGGGGCCTTTTTTACAGCACAACTTATTTGTCCTTCTAAGAAAGTGCTGATAGTGTTCAAGAGTTTTCAATCATTATAATACAATCTATGGCAGATAAAGTATTAGAGACCTTAAAAGTTTAAGTACAAAACCATAAGTGACAGTACTCATCATGAAAGCTACAACAATCCCTCAGATATTTCACCTTGACCGTCTCTTGCTGCTTCAGCAGCACAGGTTGAAACCAATAAATATAACAAATCAGTTGGATCACTAATCACACTGAAAGAACTGATCAGGTTTTCCATGTGTTTTTTATTTCCCTGGACTGTGGGGGGCAAACATTCAGCTTCAGAGCTTATGAACTGGCATTAACTTTATCCACTTCCAGAGCAGTTCATTTACATCCATGTTATATACAGTGTGCTGACCTCGGCAACAGCTGTATTCTAACGTTAGCTTGGCTAGCCTTACTGGCTTGCTAATAACAAATTACAAGATTTGAAACTCTGCGATTGACAAAGATGTGTTAAAAAGAACAAACACAGAGAGGAGGAGCTGTTCACATTGCGTCCATCATCATGTGTTTATGTGTGAGTGAGAGAGAAATAGACAAGGGCATGAAGGGACAGTGAATACATGCACTACACACAGCAGTGCACTGAAATAAGATTTAACCTATTTTAAATCAATATGTGACAGTCAGTGTTGATATTGTGGTGGCCCATCACAAATAAATCAATGTGTAAGAAACACAATGTCATGTATTAAAACTGTTATACTATACTATGGTATTGGTGGAGCAGAGGTATACAGGAGCAGCAATCCCAAAACAATAACACCAGGCCCTCATCCCATAGTTCAGTTCCTATAAAAGGTCAACCAGTAACTAGTGCAAAAAATAGACTACCACCAAAAACCTTCCTACATATAGCCTCACAATAATAAATTGAAAATAGTACACACTCACACAAGCAAAAATGAACATCAGCCAACAAAAAGTCTATGGACATTTTGGCAGATGCAACATGAACATAAATCAATAATTAAACAGTCAACAGCAAAATATAGCATAGCCATGTGTAAGCAATAACAAGTGCAGTCCAACAACTACTATAGCCAAGGTCCAAAGGGGGAGTGTGTGCATTTTTGAACACCGCCTATGTAAACACACTCACACAAGACTGTGTTGCTACATTGCAACTTGCTTAATCATCTTCCTCGCTGGAGATTATGGACATGAGCAGACTGTACTTACCCATTTGAAGGACATTCTGGTGGCCTTACGCTATACAAAGTTCTCCACCGTCTGTCTTGGTCAAATTTCTTCTTGGATTTATAATTTTCAAATGTAGAAAAGTCCAGTTTACATCTCCATGGTGTGCTGCCAGTCAGGGTGTAATCTTTTTAGCTAGCATTGTAGCTAACGTTAGCCCGCATTTGCTGACGATACAGAACAAACCGAAAAACGAATCCAGTTTCTTCAGTTCTGAAACTTCATATATCAAATCTCGCTTCTCTGAGCACCACTCTTGCATTTGTACTTCCGTTACATTATAAACGAACACACTAGCCGTTTTCCTGAAGCTAAAGTCCTACACCAATTAACGCTGCTTCTTCTTTAGTACGGAAGGCTAGTAAATGCTGGGAAGGTGTGTTTGTTTTACTTAACTTCGCATGCTGCATGGGTGCTGCAAAAGCGCCTATAACCTATAAGGAGGTAAAATTATGATAACCTTGATGATAGCATGTAATTTTACCGTAAACTGACTTAGCATTGTCGTACATTGTTGATTTACATTATTTGAACATTCATGTTCTCCCGAAGGCCCGCCCGGGTCCCCATATGGCGCGGGCCCTGACGCTCCATAGCAGAAATGGTATTAGTAAATAGTCGGCAAAACTATTTCTGGACCTTTTGATCATATCGTATTTGGGGCTTCTCTTCCATGTTAAAATGTTTTAAAGTGCTCAATTCTTGTATTTCCCCTTTTTCATGAGAACTGGGAAAATCCATCAGCTCATTGTTATCATGTGACTTGAACAAAAGTACTAAATAGACCTTGATGCCAGATAATTGTGTGAATGCTGAGCCACTTGTTTTGCCAAGTGGGGTTTCCAAGGACAAGTTTGGACTTTTAATCTCAAAATAAGTATATTAAAATTGTATATAGGTAGCTGCAGTAGCTAAAATATGAGTGCTGACTATTTGTGCAAAACAGTTTTAAGCTCTACCTCTATTTTCTGCTCCAAATAACATATACAAATACAAGCTTCTACACTGTCCACTTGTACATAACTCAACAACAGCAAGAACAAATCCATGTCTTAAACCTGTTGAGGCTTTCGAGATTGTATACAGCCTCCGTATCAGAAGTGAAGCAGTATGTTGTTTCCTTTATGGCTCAGTGTCAGCGGCGTGGGAGGGGACATGCTAATAGCAAGCAGCTGCCTCTTAAAGGAGATATATAAGGTCAGAAGTGTGACATTTGCCAAAGTAAACCTGGCCCCTCTCCACATTCAGCATAACCTGGGCAGCTACTCCAAACCCTCTGGTTTGAATCCAACCCTCATATGGCAACTGAATGAGAAAGCTCCAGAACATTTTTGAGCATGAGTTTCCAGACGCAGTATCTCTCAACAGATTTGACCATTTGACCAAACACATAGTTAATATGATAGAATTGAGGGCAAGCAAAAAAAGGGTTAACAAATGTGTCATATATGGTTTATTGCTGAATGAGAGGCCACTTCAATTTTACATGGTAGGGTCAGTGTCCACTCTCCTATGGATGATTCACACCATCTACTGTGTTGCTGTTTGTTCTCTAGATGTGGAGCACAAGGAGGAGGACGAAAGTGACACAGTCAAGACCGAGGTAAGATTTTAGCTCTGTATCTGTGCCCTCTGGCTGATGTAGCCCTCAAGGTGTCTTTCACACCTGCCAGGGATGGTGCTTCCTTCTTGGGGGTGAATTAATTTTCCTCTCATAAACCCTGAATCCTCTGCTTGCCAGCATGATAGATGGTTGTGGTGCAGATTAAACAGAAGTAAATGCTCTCTTGACTTGAAAAATTTTGTAGTAGAAATTCTAAATATGACTGGATTCTCTACCTGGGTCCATCATGCTGGTATGTTATCAGCATGTCAGTACATCCAGTGTTTTTATAGCATTGCACTTCTTTTCTCTTATTGGCTACTTTTGATTGCAGGATAGGCTGTATGCTAGAGAGGTGGAGGTTTACAAGTTGTTTTGCATGACTGTAGCTGGGTAGGAACTGATCATCATTATGGGGAACACACATTTTTCTTGCCAAGAGGATATATAGATAAATATGAAGCTATAGCCAACATCAGGTTAACTTAGCTTAGCATAAAGACTGGAAACAATGTAAAACTGCTTTGTCCAAAGATAAAGCCAGCTAAAAGAAAGTTTGACATTTTGGGAAATGCTTTTATTTCCTTTCTTGCTGACAGATGAGAAGATAGATACCACTCTCAAATATGAAGCTGGAGCCTGTTAGTGTAGTGTAGCACAAAGACTGTCCAACAATAACAAAATCCTCCTACCAGCACCTTTATATCTCAGTAATGACTTATGTCTTGCTTGCTTAATCTGTACAAAGACTAAAGTGTAAAACAACACTTTTATAGAGGGTTGTTTGCAGGCAGATTTTGTTAGCTTTGGACAGATCCAGATTAGCTCTTTCTCTTGTCTACAGTCTTTCTGCTAAGCAAAGCGAAGCTAATCAGCTGCTGGCTGCATCTTTATACTGAACAGACAGATATGAAAGTGGAATCAATCTTTCCAACTAACTCTTAGTAAGAAAGCAAGAGCGTTTTTCCTAAATATCAAGCTATTACTTTAAGTTTATTTCTGTGTAGCTTTAAACTTTTCATCACCTGCTCTCCCACAAATGTATGATGAAATCTTGCACTAAAAATAAATTGTATCTGCATCATTGCTAGATTAGAAGCTTTGTGCAGTCACCTATCTTTAGGGTCCAGAAAAACTGTTCAGTTCTCTTGCCTTTGAACTTATGAAAGAAATGGTACCTAATGGTGAATAGATTTGAAATATCAAATACACTTGGGAGTTTCTCGTCTCAGTCGGTGCTGGTGACCTCAAGACTGCTGCCAGGGGGTTGTGAATAGACACTGTGGCATCACTTCTTGCTACCTGAGCAATCACAAGTTGATAGCACCATACAGCTTACCAACATGTGAGTCATGATCTGTTTAGAAAAAGACGAAAACATTGTCTCAACCAAAACTCACTTGTCGACTAGAGTCTGTCTCACAAGCTTCAGTGATAGACTGGACACAGATTTACTACCAGTCTGGATTCTGGATGCTTCCTTATGAGAGAAACCCTTAAAGGAAGAATCAAAAACAAGTAGCTAACTTTTTTTAATACCTTAAACAGGGAGGTCGAGGCAGGCTGCGAGGGGGAGTTGGTTGGGAGATCAGCCTTCGTCAGAGGCCGATGCCCAGAATAACCTTCCAGGCTGGTGACCCTTATTACATTAGCAAGCGGACCAGAGAGGAGTGGCTGACCAAGTGGAAGATGGAGGTGAGTACCCCAGCTCTGTCCCAGCCACCATAGACCACAGGGTGAGTGACAGGCATTGTCTAAAGCTGCCAGGGTCAAAGATAGGGCTCATGGTGTATTCACGGCCAAGTGTATTTGATGGCTCATTTGATATCTCATGAAGGTACCATTTATTTCAGTGGACCTCCAGGGCTTTCTTCTCAGTTGGCAGCTTTATTTGCTGGCTTTGTTCTTTTCTATTTTATTAGCAGAGGAGAAATCATATCCAGCTGCAGTGGTCACATCTGTTTGATGATGCATGATTCATGCATCCTGGAGGAAAATGTTTCCATAATGTTTGATTTGCATCATTATGAGTGCTTTTGATGTCTTGACAACAAGGCAAAATTTATCTAGATTAAAGGGCCTGTTGAACAAAATCCATCCATCCATTATCAATACCGCTTATTTCTGAACAGGATCACAGGTGGCTAGAGCCAATCCTAGCTGTCATTGGGTGAGAGGCGGGGTACACCCTGGATAGGTCACTAGTCTATCACAGGGCTGACATGTAGACAAACCACCACACACACCCACCCACATTCACTCCTACGGGCAATTTAGAGTCACCAATCAACCTAAGCTGCATGGCTTTGGAATGTGGGAGGAAGCCAGAGAACTCACGCAGAACATGCAAACTCCGCACAGATAAGCCCCAGGTCAGCCGGGGCTCGAACCCGGAACCTTCTTACTGTGAGGCGACAGTACTAACCACTGCTTCCCATGCCGCTCGTTGAACAAGATGCCAAAAACAACAAAATAAGCATAAGTTCTTTAATCTCTTTTCTTGGCATTTAACCTTTATTTGATATTTGACAGTTTGGAGAGTCAGGAAGTGTGTGTGTGTGTGTGTGTGGTGTGGGTGTGGGGGGGGGGGGTGATGAAAGTAATGAAAAGCACCTTAACCATCAAAGGTATCCCCATTATTTCCATTTTAACACTAATGTTAGTGTTAGTTTCGCTTTTTTTGCAAAGGATTTGAGATTTGAAATTTGGGGCCAAGTATTTAAATCTTAATTTTTAAGCTACTAAGTTACAAGTCAACTGGTCAAATTGAAACTGATCTGCTATGAAAGATCATATGAAATGATCAAAAGCTTCAGAACAGGTAAGGTGTTTTTACTGCTTCCAGAACGATGACACAGCCCTCCTTCTCAGCGAAGGTTATCCAAGCATGAATTTAACCCCCTTTATAATGCGTATTACTTGTTAATATGACTTCTGGACATAATATGATGTATAACAACTTATTCTGTTACATAATGAGAAGTCTCCAAAGTATCAACATGAGGTCTTCCATTGCTTCTGCCCCCCCCCCCCCCGCTTTCTGTCTGCTCTCTCCTGGAAAGGGCTCAGGGAGCGCCCATAAAGGTGTCTCCATGGAGGAAATATTGCTAAATTAGCAGGACATGCCTGAGTCTCACAAGTGAAATGTTGTAAAATACAAGGCAATAGGTGGCTCACATTTTCTGAACAGAGGTGAATGTTCTTAAAGACAGTGTCTCTACTAGACTCTACTAGATGTAAGGGTAGTTGCAAGATGCAAATTGTGAATGTGCCATTTCCCCCCCTTTCACATCTCTGTATTGCAAACTTTGCAAACAAAAACGGATTTGTTTTGGCATCAAAGCCCTTTACCAAGGAGTAATGTGATGCATCGCCTTCAGTTTTACTTCTGCTCTTGTTGTAGAGCATTTTGCTGTTGCATGCTTCTGCAGATGGCAGAACATTGTGGCTGCTATCTTGCACTTTCTCCAGGATCTGTCTTTTTTCATGTGCTTTGTGGACAGTGAACTTCTCCAGTTTTCCCTCCGTTCCCTTCCCCCATTCTTCTCATGACCCCTCCCCCCAGCTATGGAAATGAACTCTGTGCTATGGATGAGGGTGAAGATGAGGTTTGCAGCAAATTTCCAGCCTTGCTTGCAAGACAGCCTCCTGGCTCGCTGCCAACATTTTGCAAGTCCTCTCTAGCCAACCAGAATTCCTGTTGCCAATCACCTGACCCTGAATGCCCAGACAAAGAAATGTCCATGCTTTCTTTTTTTAAGCGATCTCTTCTACCCCTAGAGTGGAGGTGAAAAAAAACTCAAGCCCCACACTGGATTATGAGGGCTGCACGCTGGCGTGTATGGGTATGTGCACTGCATTGTTTGTTTGATAATATGCGGGTGATAGTGTGTATGTCTGATTAGGCTGCTTACAGCAAGAGGAATATGCTGACTTCAGGTATTTCCATTAGAGTTGTTCGATCTGCGTATCTTAAAGGTAAACCGTCTCTTTAAAGGAAATAGTGATCAGGCTGTAGCTGTGTTTGGGAAAAAGTTGCTTGTATGAAAAAAACTTTTTCCCTTAGGGTGAATGTGTGCTGAAACTATTTCCTGTTTCATAGCAGCGCCTAGAAATATCAGAGTGGCTTTTTTTAGGTCAAATACAGGTATCGTAAAATGTTACTGTGTTTTCAGAGCCAGCATGAGTTTACCACATTTTCAGACTATTTCTTCTTAAAGCAACTGTTTCCAGGATTTAGAATTAGTTTTCTTGATCTTATGTTAACTAGATCTGTTGTAACTTAAGGAAGTTTTTAATTATTTGTCTGCAGTCCTGCTCAGCAGATAAGCTTAGATCTTTGCACTTAAGACATACAGTGTCTCATTATAGAGAATGGGAAGTTGTCATCAAACCATGTTGAATTTTGGGTAAATGCACCATTTTGGGATCACAGAGATATACACTACATACATCTGTAAGTTAAAAAATAAATAAATACTGTCCCATACCGCTTCATACAATAGTAGATGCTTCAACTATTCCATTTTAGGTAGGTAGGTAGGACTTTATTGATCCCACAATGAGGAAATTCCTGTGTTCCAGTGTGTTTAGTGTTCAGTTTGAGCATAGACAGGACACAAATTGATTCTTCTGCAGTGTTTGTGTCATCTGCCAACAGCTGCTAGCGTTAGCTCCTGAACCGAGAGCTGAGATCAGGATGCAGAGACATTTTTCAGTCTGTCGCTCTCATCAACAGGATCTCTAATTACCATAGCCAGTAAAGTGAGATCTAAACGATTTGAGTAATTTTTTAGCCAAACAAAACAAGAAGGTATGCAGGTAAATACAGCGCCTCCTGCCCAAAATGGCACACTGTCCTAACATTCAACACTGTGTGACGTACCTTTACATTCTCTATTTAAGCAATCAGACAAAACAGCAGTGCTGGAAGAAGTACTCAAATCCTTTATTTAAATAAAATCAGCAATACAGCCATGTAAAAATACTCTGTTACAAATGAAAGTCCTGCATTCAAAATGTTACTTAAGTAAAGGTACAAAAGTATTAGCTTCAAAATATTCTTAAAGTACTTAAAGTACTTAAAGTATTCATTATGCTGGTACATTTAAGGTTAATTATATCATGTTATTAGATTATAATTATTGATGCATTATTGTGTTTATCACATTTACACTGGTGCAGCTAGGGAGTTGGTTCAAGGGGAGTTAGTTTTAACCAGTGTGAATTACTGCTGGGTAGCTTGTAAATTTTCTACTGGAGATCAATAAAGTTTTATGATTACTGTGTTTTTGTTTGCATGGTTTTTTGTTTTTATTAGTCTGATTTTGAAAAATTAACTAGTAACTGAAGTTCTATTTCATATAGGCTTCGCCCTCTAAGAGCTGTTGTTATTGGGTTTATCCTGTGATAAACCCAATAACGACAGCAAAGTATGAGGTAGCAGAAAATGAAAATACTCTAGTAAAGTACTGACACCCCAGAATTGTACTTAAGTGCTTAGTTATTTTCCACCACTGCAAAACAGTTCATGCCGTCTCTCCTGCCTGCTGTGCATGAGAGACTACTGCATTCAAAGGTCAATCTCTTTTGTCTTGCTTCAAAGACTTGCTATCATGTTGTGCAAGGGAGAAATGTTTAGTGACAAGTTTATTTCATCAAAGTTTATTTTACTAAGTTTGCTTGTTTTGATTGGATGGCGTATGAACTGCTACTACATTTTTTCTCTAACATCCAGTCTGTTAGATGTTTATTGTTTGTGCCCTTGTATTACTTGTGGATTTTCAGGGTTTATGTGCTGTAGTGTTTCTTCTCAGCAACAGCTCTTTAGTCTCTTTAGACAAAGAAATTTTCTTCATGAAGTTAAAAATCTGTGGTTGACTTATATATAATAGAAGCTATGCAGTAAACATGATCTTGTTATTAACAAGGACGCCTTAGACTGGATACTGACAAATCATGTGCACAACCCAGGGACCAGTATCTCTTCTCTTTTCCCAGTGCGCTCTGTCACCTCTTGAGCCCTCAGGGTATCATGCTGCACAGTCTCTTGTCAGATTATCCCTCATTGTGCACCCAACATGTCTCTACACTCTGCTAGCGTGCTGTTGCGCTTGTTTTCACTCTTTCTATAACAAAATCCACGATTTCAGTAATTGCAGTAACTTAGGTTGGATTTGCATATAGCCTAACAGCTTTTTTCAAGAGGACAATGTGTTGTTTTCACTGTGAGATTGTTTAAATGCATTTGTTCTCCTGTGTTTATACATGTACAGTTTGTCTGCTGTCATTTCGGTGAATTGTCTTCAGGATGGCGTGACAGCGGATAAAAGCGGTGGTATTTCTGAGTTGTCAGTGACAGGCAGGCGTGTGTAAATGATAAAGACTGCATTGTGTCTCCACTACCTCCTTCCCTATTTTCCCCTTTAGACTCAGTGGGCCAGTCTTGCTTATGGAGCGGCACACATACTGTGAGGCCCCCAAAAGGGGGCAATTACAACTGGGAAGAAGTCCAGAGACAAATATCTGGTTCTTATAGCCACTGTACTTTCTCTCCTCCCCACACTGGCATTGTCAGTGTCACTTTCTCATTGGCTCTGAGAAGAAGGAACCCTGGAGACAGTCTGGTATTTACAGATCTCTCAGTGTATATGCGATGACTGGTCACCAGAGATGAAGACACTGGAGAAAATTCATATTCCACCTCATATTCACCCCCGGTGCCTTGCCACCGAGAAGCTTCTTGACTACCTCAGTGACTTCAGCTTGGGTGATGGACGAGTCCACCTCTGAGCCCTCACCCTCTGCTTCCTCATCGGAAGACATGGCGCTGGGATTGAGGAGATCCTCGAAGTATTCCTTCCACCGTCCGACAATGTCCCCAGTTGAGGTCCACAGTTGCCCACCTCCACTGTAAACAGTTTTGGCAGGGCATTGCTTCCCCCTCCTGAGGCGCCGGACGGTTTGCCAGAATCTCTCCATGGCCTCACCGAACTCTTCCCAGACCCGCGTTTTTGCCTCCGCAACCACCTGGGCTGCAGCCCGCTTGGCCTGCCGGTACCCGTCAGCTGTCTCAGGAGTCCCACGAGCCAACCGGGCTCGAAAGGACTCCTTCTTCAGCTTGACGGCATCCCTTACTTCCGGTGTCCACCACCGAGTTCGGGGATTGCCACCACCACAGGCACCGGAGACCTTACGGCCACAGCTCCGAACGGCCACATCGACAATGGAGGTGCTCTCCTCACTTGCCAATATAACTACAGATTGTTTCTCCCCCCACACACAACATGTTCAGCAGTCAAAGTGATATGTGTTATTTTTTGCAGTTTACTATCTGGAACAACATGTCCAAGCAGGCTGTCGAACACCAACTTTAGTGTGCTTGTGCTGCAGCCAAGAGGCCTAACACATATGGCCAAGGGCTTTGAACCATCCATCCAGCACTACAGTACAGATATTTATAAACCACAGCAGAGCCTCTTGATTGAAGAGCACATGTTTCTGCTCTTCTGTGCAGAATCCCCTCCCCACGCCATCTAAGCACCACCTCCCCTTAAAGGCGCTATTGTTTAGAGGTCACGCTGGGAGACTTTCTATACTCTCTCAGTCTGTCTCCTGTTTGCCTTATTCTCCTATTCCCACACATCCAGTTCAGCTCTGGACGTTTAAAGTGTGTGTGTGAGACCTAAGAACCTGAGAAAGACTTGAGGAAAGTAAGCACAGCTGTGCAGCGCTGCTCTCACATGGAGCCTCTAGTATGACTAGCATGTGTTTACATATGGGACTGCAGATATATAGTCCGAATGTGTGTGTGTAAAAGAAGGAAGTGAGAGGAGAAGAACCTACCATGTGAGTGTGTGAGAGAGAGAGAGAGAGACATCAGAATGAGTGCAGCTGTTGGGAGATTTGCTGTGAGAAGCTTAAGTCCTAACTGTGCCTCGTCCTCTCTGATTGACCTAGCGGTTGAGTGTCAGGTACCACAAACCCAGTGAACTCCCCACTGCAGCTTTGGGCACTATAGAGTTACTCTATACTGTACACTGCTATTGATGAATGGGTCTTAGAGTCAGAGATAAAGAGGTGTTTACAAATGCTTTCAAACTCCCACATTCAAAATTCTGCACGTATGCAGCAGAAAGGCACACCACTTATGTTGTAGAGCCAAATGGCTAGAAACACTGTCAACCTATATTTATACTACAACTGGTAGTAATATACAGTAGTTGCATTGAGAACCCTGCATGACCATCATCACGGCAGGCAGAGTATATATAGTTCAGTCACTGGTGTACCACATAGTATGCATTTGCACTAATTAATATTTTTAATTTGAAAAAAGTGTCACATGACTACACAAGACCACAGGGAATCATCAGCATTTTTGTGTCTGTTGGGTCACCATTTTGGTTTTACAGCCTGCAGCTTTAGTGTTTTGGTTCACTCCAATATCTTTAATCTGGGTCTTTTCAGGTATCCGATTTCACTGGAAAAACTTCCAAAACTCACTGTACACTACCAGCAGACAAAATTAGCAGCAAGCTGGTATATACACTGGAGCATTTAGAAGCTAAAGTGCCTGTTTTCTTTCCTTAGGAGTTGTGGAGACCAAAATAGAGCTAAAAATTAGAGTGAATATTGGACTTGTGTTTGCTGGGTGGTCAGAAACACAGCTCAACATAAATTCTAATGTTGCTCCTTGTCTACTGGATGTGTAAATAAGCAACTGGTTGCAATTTTGTAAGTTTACAAAACAACAAATAATAGCATTCTGCAGAATTCACTTGTTTAATGTCTTACCACCAGCTAGAGGAGAATCTGACATCATTCGTTCTTTTCATTCTATTAGTATGGGCTTCAAGTCAACGCCCATTTCAACCTCCTCAGTGTTGTGAAGGTTAACGTTAGTTAAAGAGCAGTGGTCTGAGTCTGGTGTTTATGGTTTATGGTTAAATTTGATATGGTTTGTAGAACAGTTTTTTATATTTAGAAAAGTAACACATCTAGTTGGATCAGTGTTGGTGATCAGCCTTAAGCATGCTGTCATTGGGCTGTGTTTCAGGCAGAGAAAAAGGCCAAACTGATGTCAGCGATGAACGCCATCAAGGATCACAAGGAGAATGAAACAGAGACTCAGAACGAAGAGGTCTCAATAATCAAGCACCCACAGCCTTCAAAGCAGCAGCAGCAGCAGCCTCAGTCTCAGCCTCAGTATCAACAGCAATCACAGCTGTCGCTGCCAAAGCAACAACAACAACAACATCAGCAGCTGCCTCAACAGCAGCAGCCTACTAGCCCAGCTTCTCCCACCGTGGCCACAACCCCTGAGCCTGTCGTCATTGGAGGTGGAGAGAAGGCGTGCCCCAAGTCTGCAGACACTGAGCCCGAGTATGAGGTAAGATCATTCTGAACTTCATTAATTGATGTCCTGCTGTAGATTAACAGGATTTTACAAGAGAAATCGCTATTGGGAAAAGGATTTAGTTTAAGCCCAGGGCTAATCGTTGTGGAATCAAGTAGCCATTCATGTTTTGGGAAACTGTTATCTGGGGTGTTGACAGCCATGGCAGATACACTACAGATCATATTGATTTTTGGGTAAATGTTCAGGTATAATCTGATGGACAGGACATTTACAGTACACTACAGTGACTCTGAAATTTAAGGTTAAACTTCCTCCTTTATGCATTAAGTTTGATGACGTTTTGTTAGTGTTTACATTAGAATTGAAACAGTTAAATGGTCTATTAATTCAATAGTTGATCTTCAGAAAATTATTCAGCAATTGATTTTTGGGTAAATGTTCAGATATAATCTGATGGACAGGACATTTACAGTACACTACAGTGACTCTGACATGTAAAATAAAAAATTTAAGGTTAAGTGAGTCACTGAGGAAATAATTCACAGATAAAAAAATTATTAAATAAGTGTTAGTTGCAGCCCTCATTTATATAAGTAATCACTTCCAGTTGTTGTTGTTATAGGCTTAGATAATTTTATTTTGTTATGTTGTTGTATTATGTAACACTACAAGCCAACCCCCCTGAAAATCTAGAGACAGACTATGTTTAAATGATTCACAGTCATGACCATAATTTAACACAGAGCGGATGATTTGTCTTTTATTTTGGCTGCAGGACAGTCGTGGTTTTGGCATTGGTGAGCTGGTTTGGGGGAAGCTCCGTGGGTTCTCGTGGTGGCCAGGCCGCATCGTATCCTGGTGGGTGACGGGACGGAGCAGAGCTGCCGAGGGAACCCGATGGGTCATGTGGTTTGGAGATGGAAAATTCTCAGTGGTGAGAGTTTAGAGCCAACATTAATATTACTGTCAGGTGATTTTTTTCATGGGGAATTAAGAAAAACAGTCTGGTGGTTATACTGACAACTGCACTTAATAATGAGCTTTTTGTTTTATGTGCTTAACCAACTGGTCTTTTCCACTACAAACATAAAAGTTATTAACCTTCTGACAACTGTAGCAATATAGTTAATGTCCCACAGCAGTGAACATCTACTACATTTTCTGTATTTTTAAGGTCTGTGTAGAGAAACTCATGCCTTTAAGTTCCTTCAACAATGCCTTTCACCAACCAACTTACAACAAGCAACCCATGTACAAGAAAGCCATCTATGAAGTGCTACAGGTGAGTATAAGAGCAGTGGGTTTCACATCACTGTTATCAGTCTGAAATATGCCCTACAGCCTCATTTATTCATAAGTGAAAGTCAGCAGACAATAAGGTTAGCTTAGCATCAGTGATGGAAGAAGTACTCAGATCCCTTACTTAAGTAAAAGTAGCAGTGCCACAGTATAAAAATACTCCTTTACAAGTAAATGTCTTGCATTCAAAATGTTACTTAAGTAAAAGAACAAAAATATGAGCATCAAACATACTCGAAGTACTAAAAGTAAAACTACTCATTATGTAGAATGGCATGTTTAACATTAATGTATATCATATTAATAGATTACAGTTACTGATGCATTATTATGAACATCACATTTAATGTTGCAGCTGGTAAAAGGGGAGTTGGTTTTAACTGGCTTACATGCAGTTAAGGTATATAGTTGAGAAGTAATTAGTAAAGTTATAAAATAAATGTAGTGGAGTATAAAGTACAATATTTGCCTCTAAAATGTAGTGAAGTCAAAGTATGAAGTAGCAGAGAAAATACTCAGGTAAAGTACAGATACCTCAAAATTGTACATAAGTACAGTACTTGAGTAAATGTACTTAGTTACTTTCCACCATTGCTTAGCATAAAGACTGGAAGCAGGAGGAAACAGCTAGCCTGACTTTGTCCAAAGTTTAAAGATCCAGTTACCAGCTCTTCCAAATCTCACTGATTACTATGTTATATATTGTTTGGATAATACAGTAAGTACTCAAAGAGAAGTAAGAGAGCAACAAAACTGTGGTTTTCTAGGAACCTGCACGCTAGAACTATTACTTTGTGTTTAATTCTCTACACTAAGCACAAAACCATAAAAACTGTATGAAAATTCAGTAACAAGCGGAAGTACAAAAAAATGTCCTCTCAAAATGCTGACATAAGGATTAAAGACAAAATAATTGTAATCCCTTTTTGGAATAGTTGTTGAGACATGGACAACACTTAATCATTAAAAAGTGAGGATGAACAAAACATGTAAAAAAAAAATTAATATATATATATATTTGTAGGTGGCTAGCAGCCGGGCAGGCAAAGCCTTCATGGCCTGCCCTGACAGCGATGAGACGGAAACCTCCAAATCAGTGGAAATGCTGAACAAACAGATGATTGACTGGGCTATGGCAGGGTTTCATCCCACAGGGCCCAAGGGCTTAGAGCCACCAGAGGGTAAGAGGAAAGAAGCTTCCCATCTGTACCAGCTTCCTCAGCCACCACAGATAACAGCCAGTAATAGACACTATCAACAAAATTCTCCAACTAACATGATTTATTAATTCAGAATTAATAATGTTATATTATTTGTCTGACATGCTGTGGACCCCAGAGGAGCGTAGCCCATACAAAGAGGTTTACCCTGAGATCTGGGTGGAACCAGAAGCAGCAGCCTACACACCCCCTCCAGCCAAAAAGCCTCGCAAAAGCACAGCAGAGAAACCCAAGGTCAAGGACATCATTGATGAGAGGACACGGGGTAAGGAGCCTCATTTATTACGTTAAACAGAAGTCATGAACTCTACAGTACTTCCCCTTTGGGAGGTAAGTGGTTGGAGTGATGTGGCCAAGGAAACAGATTCAGGCTCCTCCCTCACGTGCTTCATTTATAGTACTGTAGTTGTTTCTTTACTGAACTATTTTAACCATATTAACCCTTTCTTGTACTTTAACCTGTCAATTTTGGATGATATTTATGATATCACGTTTGGAATAAACAAAATTAAAAACCAACAACTAAAATTAGAGAAAAAAAAAACTAGACAAATTTAGAACTGCTAACCTCACAAATTAAGTGTCCAGACTGAATTTTGTTAACCTACGTTTTTCATCAGGTGAATCTTGTGTTGTATTTTCAGAGCGGCTTGTTTATGAAGTGAGACAGAAGTGCCGCAGCATAGAGGGTAAGTGATGTGTCCTCTGTGCTCTGGCTTGCAACAGCAGCCGGGGGGGCTGTAAAGGGACGACCACCTGGACACTTTACACTTGCCCTTGTTGCTTACAAAGCAGCAGAAATGTGTGTCTGTGCTAATAAAACAAAACAAAACAAAAAAAACACAAATACAGAATAATATTTACATGATTTTTGTTGTCTTGGTGGCTCCTTGTGCGTTACAGTATCTCCACACACACTAGCTATGTTCATTAGATCACAGCAGCTCAAATAATTAAATTGAAGTGTTAAGTTTGAGGCGTGTGTTTTCACCGCTCTGACATTCACTGCTTCTCCGTCTGCAGACATCTGTATCTCCTGTGGAAGTCTGAATGTTAGCCTTGAGCACCCACTGTTTGCTGGAGGAATGTGCCAGAGCTGTAAGGTAAGATGTGACAGAGGTCATTAAAAATCTGGGACTTCAATCGCAGCTAATAATAAACTGAATATATTTCAAGCAACACCTGCTGTGGTGCCATAAAATTTGGGTTTGTAATATGTCAAACTGTTTTTTTTTCCTACAGAACTGCTTCCTAGAATGTGCGTATCAATATGACGATGATGGTTACCAGTCGTACTGCACGATCTGCTGCGGGGGCCGAGAAGTGCTCATGTGTGGAAACAACAACTGCTGTCGGTGAGATTTCCTGGGTTCTACTGTATAATGGGGTTAATGCAAGACAGTCTGTGTTACACTGAATTTGCATTTTAAAGTATCTTTTGTTCCATGAAGATTTATCACTCACTGCATTGATACCGTTCCTTGTCCTGTGTTCAGGTGTTTCTGTGTTGAGTGTGTCGACCTCCTCGTTGGTCAGGGAGCGGCCCACGCAGCCATCAAGGAAGACCCATGGAACTGCTTCATGTGTGGTCAGAAGGGTGTGTTCGGTCTGTTGGAGCGTCGCACTGACTGGCCCAGCCGTCTTCAGCTCTTCTTTGCAAATAATCATGACCAAGATTTTGTGAGTAATTCACTATTAGTCTATGAATCCTCTCACAGAGGTGTCTCGTTCCTGTGCGTCTCACTTCCTTCCTCCTCTGTTGGTGTTGCATTTCAGGATCCACCAAAGCATTACCCCCCAGTCATGGTGGAGAAGAGGAAGCCCATTCGTGTCCTGTCGCTATTTGATGGTATAGCAACAGGTCAGACAAGAACCCTCTTTCTCCTCTTCTTCTAGGTCTATATAAAATGTTTTGTTTGTATCGATTTACACCAAATACCTCATTTCTATATTAAATGCAACAATGTCATGACCATTTTGGTCACACTGAAACAATAAAAAAAGTGTTTTGCATCCTTTTAATTACCCTAGTTTACTTTCATTATTCTGTTTTTGGAAAGTAAACATCAAAACACTTGCAATATTGTGCTTTTTAGCTGTTGACCATCAATAACACCACCTACTAACACCATTGCAGTCATTGTATGAGTTTATCAGTCAAAACATGACTGATATCAAAGCATTATATCGGTGTGGAGAGTGATATCAGCAAGAATGTATGGTCAGCTTCAGTATTATTCAGTGTTTTGCTTTTAGTCAGAGACAGTTCCAGAGCTTCACACCAGTCTTTTTATCATGACCACTTTTGTCAAATGTTGAAGGGTTTCTTCTTAGCTGTGTATGGTCTGTCTGACCGTTGACCTTGTCCTGTGCAGGATTGCTGGTGCTGAAAGAACTTGGCATCCAAGTAGATCGCTATGTAGCTTCTGAAGTGTGTGAAGACTCCATCACTGTGGGTATCGTCCGGCATCAGGGTCGCATCATGTATGTCGGTGACGTGAGGAACGTCACGCGCAAACATGTGAGTCTAGTGTCTCATGTTTTTTGTTTAGGGTTGCTACTGTAAGTGTACATGGTCTTCACACTGATGAGTTGTCTTTACAGCAGCAGTCTCATTCTGCTGGACACAGACCTGAAGCATAGCTGAAAATTATAAATCCAGCACAAAGTGCACACAGTGTTGGAGTACATTCAGTACACATTTATATTAATAATTTGCTCAACAACCCTACATTAACCTTTCAGTCCCAAGCCAAAATCTGAGCTTTTATTTTTCCTACTTCCACTTTTTCCAGAACAGCCTGGACTATTTGGAAGGTAATATTTATTGTTGTTAATAATTGGATTAGAAAGAATAGCAATTGATAACATACAGGTGTAGAAAGTGGAGACTAGAAGACAATAAAGCTGAAGGTTGGACAAGTGTAATACTGGTCCACTTAATCTTACAACATAATACTATCTATACTGCCTCTGTCTTTATCTTTCTGTTTCTGATTCAGTTTGTTATCTGTATACAGATACAGGAGTGGGGTCCTTTTGACCTAGTTATTGGTGGAAGTCCATGCAATGACCTCTCGATAGTCAATCCTGCAAGGAAAGGTCTTTATGGTAAGTCTAAACATGTTCCTTTTCCTTTTTTCTTTGTCATATTGTTTAGGGAATTCATCTGGTCAGATGAAGATGTGAACAAATTAATCACTAGAATTTTATCAGTATGTGGCCTTTACTGTTCTTTGTCACTGTTTCATGCCTGTCTCTGTCCCACAGAGGGTACCGGCCGCCTGTTCTTTGAGTTTTACAGGCTGCTCCACGAGGCTCGGCCAAAGAATGGGGAGGACCGGCCTTTCTTCTGGCTCTTTGAAAATGTGGTTGCCATGGGTGTCAGTGATAAGAGGGACATATCTCGCTTTTTAGAGGTGAGCTTCCTGACTGATAGCAGCGATCTCTGCAAGCTGAACTTGTAGCAAGAGCTAGTTAATCTAATCCTAATTATCCACAGCTCCCACCAGCTCATACTTTTACAAATAAATACAGTACAGTGTGATATCAGCAGCACAGGGATTATTGCACTTTTAATACACCATGTTTAATGTGTTTCAGTACAGATAGCTTAGCTTTCTCTATATTTTTCACCTGACTCTTATTTGATTTTAAACAGTCAAAAAACTATACAAGTATTCCTTTCAAACCCAGCAGTACTGTGTTATTAAATGGCAACCACATTTCATGAATTTGTAACACACTATATATGTAAACTTAAGCACAGCACAGGATCTTGCCTTTGTTAGTCTCTGATTGGTGTTTTCCTCTTCTGCTTGCTTGGGTTTTAGTGCAACCCAGTGATGATTGATGCCAAGGAAGTGTCAGCTGCCCACCGCGCCCGCTACTTCTGGGGTAACCTTCCTGGCATGAACAGGTTGGTGGGTGAATGGTGAGGGAAGCATCAGCCTTTAAAATACACAGTGGAAAACAACAACCCCATCAAGAAAGAATTTAAATTGTAAAATTGCTTTTAACATTATTACAGATGAAACAGTGATACATCAACTACATAATCTTCTTTGGACATTACTTTGGCTTTGTATTTGATCATAATAGTTGTAGCTTTGCACAACCAGGTAGAGATCTGCTCTGTTTAGCTGAGTCTCTGCTGGGTCAGTTATGTATCCATTCATATCACCACCCATCTCCAATATCCTCCAACATTCACCTGAACCTACATCCTAAGTGGCTTTTTAGCCCACAGTCAGCAGAGTAACATTGTGCCTGGTCGGTCATGATCTTTGTGTTTAATAAAGTTTAATAATCCAAAGTCATTTAAATACAAATCGTGATGCCTGTTCTTTCTGTTTTTCAGGCCTCTGAGCGCTATGTGCACTGACAGGCTGGACCTCCAGGACTGTTTAGAGCATGGCAGGACAGCTAAGGTACTTTACATGACACCTAGTGAAATGTTAAGATTTTGAGTAATCATGAATATCTTGTCCATAACTTGATATCATTTGTTTAAAAAAAACTAAGTTTGACTGACAGTTTTCTCTGTGATACATCTGTGACGTGTGCAGCATAATATCACTAGCAATGTTGTGTGTTCAAAGTATATTTTAAAAAATGACTTCATGAGATTTGATTGCTCATAGTGGAAATACTCAATACTCAACTTTGTACAGTGGTGGCTCCCAGTGGCAGCAAGAGGTAACAGCCCAACAGTCTGTACTGAGCAATCGGGCAGCTTGAAGTTTAACTGAAGCTGGATCCTCAACCAGCCTATTCAATTTGTAACGCTGTGATGAAAAAAAGGAAACATTTTAGGCAAATATGCAGGTTTTGCAGGTTTGATGTGTCAACTCATGGATTAATATTCTCTTGTTCCCTTTTTTTTTTCTTAGTTTGACAAGGTGAGGACCATCACCACCAGATCTAATTCTATCAAGCAGGGCAAGGATCAGCACTTCCCCGTCTACATGAACGAGAAGGAAGACATACTCTGGTGCACTGAGATGGAGAGGTATGTAAAGGTCATCCTTTAAACAAACATTCACAGCGCTTTGTCTTAGTTGGAAATCTGAAGATGATCTTCCTGTGTCTTCCCCTATTTTGCTCCTTGTCTTTCTTTCCCTGATTGTATCTGCTTGTTGCTCTTGCCAGGGTCTTTGGCTTCCCAGTCCACTATACAGACGTGTCCAACATGAGCCGACTGGCAAGGCAGAGGCTTCTGGGCAGATCATGGAGCGTCCCAGTTATCCGCCACCTCTTTGCACCACTCAAAGATTACTTTGCCTGTGTTTGAGCAGCAAGAAAACTCACTCAGAACCATTGTAGGAACTACAACTGTATGTTGTGACTAGAAATAAGAGCCTTGATCCTCAAATTATACTCTTGTATAATTAGCAAGTGAGACATTGATGTAGATTTCACATTATTTCTTGTATTTGAATGGCTTATTCTATTTAATTTTGATATGTCATTGTACTTTTTAGCAGTGTTATCAAGTTTTGTTAATTTGTTTGTGCAAGCTATACTTGAGACTATGCTTTCTTCTCAAGACACCGAGAGAGACAAAGTGCTAAATATGTATTTTAAAAGACGGTTATGCGACTGGAAACATCAGAGTGATAGAAAGTGGTTTTAAGATATGTGAACTATTTCTGCTGTGTGAGTGTACTGTACATCTGGGCTGCGAGATTCCCACCTGCAGTGCAGCCACACTTCCAGCTACTGAGCCTCACAGAGATGTGAAAGGAAAGGTGATTTTCTTCAGTGTCAGGAGAGCCATGTCTCTGAGAATCCAAAACACCAGATCACATATACCTCTTTGTTTACAGTTTCTATATACAACTGAAGGTAATAAAGGTACTACTGTAATATGGTTACAATACCATGGTGCTCCAAGATGATGAGAAACATCATAGCCCATGTGGCACCTCAACTTTAGACAATACGGAGCTTTTAACCTGTTGCTGGAAAAACTTGTTTGATGTTTTTACATTTAATGAAAAAAAAAAAAACTTCTGTTTGGTGCTAGGCAGTAGACAGCAAAAAGAGAGCATATCCTCTTTTCTGCATTTTACGGCTTTTATACCGATTCCACTGGTGCTCATTTAATCTTTCAGCCTTGCTATACTCAGGCTCAATGCCTGGACCTGCACACAAACAGAAAGTGAAGCTAGCCACATGGGAAATGGTGTTTTCTGTCATGCATTAAAAAAAAAAAAACAACTTAAAATCAAAGTCTGTGGTGAGCTACTTTTTCTAGTTTCATCCTGACCAATGTCATTACTGTACAACTGTTAGTAAGTGTGGGGGCTGGAGGGAGGGAGGGTGACGAGGCCGGGTAACTCTCTTCCTCAACTTCCACATCTCTGAACAGAGAAACTGTCAGGTGCAAATCCTCAACAATATGGTGCGGCTTCACAAAGTTCTTCTACCTTTTTATAGCAATTTTGTGCTGTTTTGTTAACATTATAAAGCACTTTTATATGTATACATTCAGTTTTTCTCTTGATATTTTTAAAAAAATATTGGTTCTTGTGAATTTTTTGTTTTATGATGTGAACTGATCTACCCTCATGTAATACTTTCTGTATACAGTAGGGCTGTGCCAATAGAAGTGAAAGAGTGGATTTTAATATGTGAAACCCATGTTATCTGACTCAGTGTGTGCAGTAGATGGAGTGACATTTGTAACTCCAGACCCCTTTCCCTTCCTACATCAGCCACATTGTTCTCTGTTTTAAAACAGCGACACAGTATGTTACCACCAAGATTCAAAGAATGACTGCTTCTATTAAGATTGTAAAATGCAAGACTACAGGAGGATTAGAGCCACTGTGCAGAATTTGAGCTCTTAAAACTCTGAATTTAATCTCAGAACCCTGAGTTTTTCTCAGAACTTTCTGATTCACAATTCTGAGTTTAAAGTCTCTTAAACTCAGACTTTAAATCAGAATTCTGAGATTACAATGAGAATTCTGAGTTTAAAGTCTCTTAAACTCAGACTTTAATCAGAATTCTGAGATTAATATGAGAATTCTGAGTTTAAAGTTGGAATTCTGACTTTTTTCTTAAAATTCTGAATTTAATCTCAGAACTATCTCTTGAACTCAGACTTTAATCAGAATTCAGAAGAAACTCAGAATTCTGATTAAAGTCCAAATTCTGATATTAAAATGAGAATGTAAGAAATGAGTTTAAAGTCAGAAGTCAAATTCTGTACAGTGGCCCTAATCCTCTTCTGTATAAGACAGAGTTAAAGAACCATGTATTATATTTTGTCACTTGTGAAGGACAGCTTGGCCATTTTGCTGACAAATCATGGTTGTTACAAACTAAAGTGCTGATTACATTTGCGAACAGTTTTCCGGATTGTAACCTCTAAGCTAAATACGGAGGCTGTAGTTTGTCAAAACGAAAAACTGACAGTGTTCGGCCAAGATGTCAACACTTAAATAAGGTAATAAAAACAGAACTTATCACCTACCTGTATCATATTTAACAATCAAAATTTGAAATTTAATTTCTTAATGTTATTAATTTCTTAAGTGACCTTATTGTTATCAGTTTATCCCAGCACACTGGGCCCAACATGAAGTTCTCTGCTTTGTGATATTTCAGCCATATGTTATTTCCTCCCTCCTCCTATAATACTTAACATCCCTTCATGTTTGTATATTTTGTACATAGAGTTTTCCGGTTGCTGTTTTCAATTTGTTTTTATCAGATTTTTTGTTTTTACATTGGAGATGTACAAATATAATTCTTTGCTAATATATATATCATCAATTAGAAAAAATCTTAAAAATCAAGTGACGGATTTGATTCAAAACTTGCTTTGAGCATTAGATGTAGGGAGACTCCAAGTCAATGTTTTTTTTTGTACTGGTTTGTTTGTGTTCAGGTGAATCCAGATTTAATGTCATGTAAGATTAACATTGGCCTATAGACAGCTTTAAGATGAACGGTCTCAACTTCACTGCACAGCCCTACATGGTGGTGTTTTTTGCTTCGGTTCCTTTTGTAGGAATTTGAACAAGAGGGATTGTTGGTGTTTCTGATGGTGCTAAACATTTTATCTAATCAAGAAAATTATATTTGATTGGAAGACAAATAAACATGTCTTGACAATGACTGTTTTTAAGTTCCTTGTGGTAATGAAAAACAACTATTATTTCACTCATATAAATATATTAACAAAGGCATTCTAACTTTGTACTTGAAAAGTAAGGATAACAAATAATGAAAGGTTTCCTATATTGTTTTAGACTAGAGATTGCTGTAGTTGGTGCTTATCTGTGGGAAAATCATGTGAGAAAAAATGGTAATAACTTTTACTGTAGCATAATGTATGTTTAATATGCATTTCTTCTTAATCCTACATTCCATGGTGTAATACTCTCCATGTCTGTTTGTTGTTTTGAATTTATGCTTATGTTGTTTTTTTTTTAATCAGAAATATTTCATTTTTATTGTTCAACACAGGTCAATAATTCTATATCGAGTGCTACTGTTGACACTCTGTGTGACTTTCTTTCTGTCATAACTATTTTATGGTCTAAATGCTTTTCCTTAAGACCAGTTCATACAGCAAATGTAGCAGTCATTCTCCACTTTGACCTCCCCATACTTATGTTTAGTGTCCAGAGAGAAGATAAAGGCTCCATATGTACTTGTGCTGGAGAACACTTGAATAAATGTATTGTTTTTGTGCAAAACTCCTGTGGTTTTTTTGTTTTTCTTTTAATGTGTGCTTATAAAATGTACCAGACGTTATTAAGTTGGTCAGAGAAACTTTAACCTCAGTGCATTGCAGTTGTGGCTCTAAGAACAAACCTATGCTGCTGGTCATAATTATGAGTTATTATACACAAGGATTGCCTACAGCCTTAGAAGCCATGTGATTATGGTTAACTCATACTTTGGGGTTAATAAATCATATTTATGAGGAAAAACGCTTAATAATGACTTTTTCAGGTTGTGGAAATTAGCTGCATTTATCACACGGTCTAACGGATGATGTTTGATCAACTCCCACAATAATTAATACCCTCATGAATCTATTTTAGCTTCTCTTTGCCAGGAGGCTGATAGAGATTATGTGACGTCAATTTTCAACTTGGGTTTCCTCGCCATCATGCCCTCCAGCAGGAGAGCTTTGTCAGTGTCTTGACACCTGGGTCTTCTCCACCCTCAGTGCTCTAAAAAGGAGGGATGCTCTGCACCTTCAATGATCAGAACTGAACATGTTGCCACTCTACAGCTTTTCACTCAGGCATCAGTTGGTGTTTATGGGTTTGGCCTTACATTCCCTATTAATGCCATATACTCATTAATATATAGCCTGTTTAATTTGACTTTTTCTTTATGTATAGTTGTTGCCGATCAAGCCTAGGGCCTGTCACAGATAATCAATCAATATATACAGTATAGCATTTTTCATAGTAGTCAAATTCAATTTGCAAGACCTTGTCAACATACAGCAGAAATGGGTACAAAAGGAATACTAGACTATTAATATATCAAATTAAATCTGATGTATTTACGCCATTAAACACAAAATAAGACATAACATGCAGCCTCACTGGAGAGTTATTTTTTACGTTACCCTTTTTCTCTCATAGTGGTACAGCCTCCTCAGAGTGGACACGCCCAAAGTCCGAAGTAATTGGTTGCTTAGGCGACCAAGCCTTCTGTCAGGCCTGCTGATTGGTGCGTCACACCGTCGCACGACCTGATGCTGCGAGCTGCGTCATGTTAACCAAAGAACGGCAGAATGGAACCGGAAGACATGTGATTTACCTAAAAAATAAAAGCATAAAATGTGTTCAGTTTATGCTAGTGGTCTTTTTAAATGTTAAATGAGTTTAAGTAATTCCAATGCTGTCATTCTTCAACAGAAATGACAAAGACCGGTAAGCTTGTGGAATAAACGCATTATATCACTCAGTTTATTGCTTGTTCTGCATTTGATTAAAGTTACTGAAACTAAACAGTAGCCTACCGATTTGTGAAAGAAATTCACCATACATTATCCACATAAATAGGCTGTACTGATGCAAGAGTGCTACCAAAACGTATAATAATCAAAATGGTAACAGAAATCTACAAATGTTTGCAGCTTGCTAAGCAATCTACAGCCTTAATAAATACTTACTAGTTAAATTAGTTGCGGGTTGTAAATATAAATGCACCTCTTAAAAGTGTATGTATATTATAGGCCACATAACCAGGCAATAACCACCCGCATCAGTCAGTATTTTGTATAGAAATATATCTTATTATTGACTAAAGCTGTGAAATTAACATATGTAGGAGAATTAATTTTACCTTCCATGCTTAAAAGGTCGTACGACAGCTATTTGGGTTTTATTATGAAAGCCATAACCGGAGGTCCTACTCGTATGGCCTTGCTGACTTGACTGGGATGATGCTGCGGTCTGCTGGTCCCGGACCGGCCAGGAAAGCATCCATCTGGTGTGTGTGCATCTGCTTGGGAAGTGTCGTCCATACGGATCGTGCTGCATTCTGTTCCTATCAGAAACAAACCAGGGATCCGAGCGGAGCAGCAGCAGCAGCAGCAGCGGGCCCGTAGAGTAGGTACGTGGCGCTCACCATCACCATGACTCTGATTTGTTGGTTGCTGTGGCACTATCTGGGGGGAAATCCGATGCTGGAGACCGGAGACTTTTGTTTCCATGCCCCCTGGCTACATGCTTAGGCGTCTGCCCTTCCTGCTGTTCCCACCACCCTCTCAGGATCTGCACACACCCTGAAGTCCAACTACACCGCTTCACCTGGGAGGAGGGCTGTGTGGATGTTAAGGGAGGCCACTGCGCCGTTAAATAGCAATCCATGGAGGAGGAAGAGGAGGGACCAGGGTGGACAGAGTTGGGAAGACAATTTTCTAGGTCGATATAGAAGGCTGTGCAGCCGATCACGCACATCGAATGGAGACCGGTTTCTTTGTGTCAAGTCGCACAGTTAGAAGTGATGACACTTCATTTCCTTGCGTTCACACTTGACCAGCAAAATCACTAGATTCACCGGGATAACCGTTCTTGATGACACAAATTTACAAATGCCTGATTGCATGTGATTTGCGGGAAATGTGGGAGAGTTTAACGACAAATCAAAACTATAAACACATTTGATTAATATAACATCAGGGCCTGTAGTTTTAGCAAGTTCAACTTAAAACACGTGATAAAATTGTAGCTCTCACTTATCGATGCATGTTATTTCATGTTTTGCTCTACTAAAACAAGTTGTAATACATTTATTAAGCATGCATCGTAAGCTAGTTATTATTAACTAACCCGCACCAGGTTCCAGTGACCATCACAGCTGTAGACCCTGCAGTGTTTAACTTTGGCTACTAGCCTCTGGCCTGTAGCTGCCTCCAGGTTTTGGGGATCAGAGCTGATTCTCTGAGTGTTTTACCTTCTGAATTAACTCCTAGTACATTTAGACTGAACCGTGCTCCACATTTTCATCCATCAGATCTGAACGTGTCAAGGCAATAAAGTTGCCGCACCCTCTTACGCACGCACGCAAGCACGCAAGGATGGACACACACACACAATACATCCCATCATTAATACAGTGGTGTAAAAGTGAAGATAGGGGGCAGGTCTTGGAGATTTTAGCCTAGAACTGATTTAAAGAATTTCATTGTTTTGCCTGTAAGTTTGACTGATTTTGTGTTATTTATAACAGAGTAGGGAGCAGAACAGTAGAGTAGAGCAACCTTATTGGTTGTGACTTGAGGTCATGAGACCCAAAACACACCCCCAACCCTCCACAAAATTTGAACCTAACACAAGATAATATGGTTTTTATTTATTCAGTTTAGCTATTTAATCCTGAAGGTTTAAATGCAGTTTAAACTCCCCATACCGCCAGGAATAAAATTCTGGATGCTGGACCCACTATTATCTTTATAAAGTCCAAAAGTAGTTTACTTTAAATATACTGGACTTCACTGTCATCTTGGTAGCTATGGCCCTTGTCGAGACTTTTTTTGTACATAGTTGTTATGAGCTTGTTTATTCAAACCTTTTCAGACTCAAATCAGAATCGTTTTACATATCTGCAGTCATACTATCCAGTATTTGTACGAAAACAGGAGAGTGTGGAGGAACGTTGTGCAGCACAGCTTGTTTTTTTTAATTATTATTATTTCCTGTACCCCACCATTCTTTAGTGACTCTTAAATTCCTCTTGCCAACCTTTGTGGAGGTCATTTATCCACTGGTTGGAAAGCACATAGAGCTATTTGGCATGTTGTGGTAGGGTTTCCATCTCAATATATTTAAGATATAATTTTCAGCCTTGTATAGCTTCACTGTAAGTAGCAAGGCAAGTAGCTTTATGCCGCTTCAGTCCTTTCAAAATAATGGCCCTTGTTTACATTATTGTGATCCACTCAGCTTACATCACTACCCACTGGGACGTCAGGTTACAGGCGGTGACTGACACAGCCTCCTCAGTCTTGCAGCTCATGTTAGTCACAGCCTGACAGTCTGGTCACAAAGGTGCATTACTGACCCTTTTCTCTCTTCTATAGTCTTACTACCCGGTCTCAGAATGAGGTATGGTAAAAATGATACAGTAGTTTCTTGTAGAAATGCAGATGTTTGTCCTCCAGTTTCTGGGAATATTGTGTTGCATCCCAGGACTAAACCATTTTTAACATTGCTTGTACTCTTTTGGGTTTTGTGATTTAGATCACCAGCTGCGAATGATAGCCTATCTAACAAAAAACCCCTAAATCCACAGTCAAACCTCTTTTTCTCTCTTTCATGCAGAGCTATAGCCATGTCTTCCAGCTCAGCCATGGTGCGGATCCTAATAAAGGGTGGCAAGGTGGTAAACGATGACTGCACCCAGGAGGCAGATGTCTACATCGAGAACGGCATCATCCAGCAGGTGGGAAAGGAGCTGATGATCCCCGGTGGGGCCAAAGTGATCGACGCCTCGGGCAAACTGGTCCTCCCCGGGGGCATCGACACCAGCATCCACCTAGAGGAGAGCTTCATGAACGCCACTACAGCAGATGACTACTACAGCGGCACCAAGGTATGTCCTGCTGTAAATGGAAAGCAAGAAGGAGGAGGAAGGGATTTTAGACATAAGGATTTTGAAACTCTGCTTTCTATCACTAACTCTTCAGTGCGGTTTCTGTTCTAAAGTTAGCTTGACTTCCTTAGATATTCCCTTTATTTTGATATTGCTTATTATAACAAATGTATTGTTTTTCCCATTGGATAAAAAGCAACAGAAGCTTCCAGCTCAAGTTAATTTTAACCAAGATGTCAGTGATGTGTTTTTGTTTTTGATGCAATGACACATTCTTTCAGGGAGAACAGAGAAATAATACATTAGAACATTATATTGTATTAGCAATAAAACTGCAACAGTAACACATTTTTTAAATCTAGAGCATTATAATAGAATGGAAACAGCGTGATAAAGCAATTTAAAATAAGCTGATGGCAGAGACAATACTTGTTGGCAGTTATATTGTACTTGCATACTTAGGATGTTCTAACAGCCAGGGCGTTAACCTTGACAACAGAAGCTGCAAATATTAATTGATTCATTGATTAGTGGACAGACACAAAATTTATCAGCAGCTACTTGAAGTCTTTTTTTTTTGTTTTCTTACTTTTCCTTTCTTTTCTTACCTAAAGTAAACTGAATACCTTTGAGCTGGAGCTGCTATTCAGATAAAACATGACACCTGAAGACGTCACGGTGGACTCAGAATTGCCAGTGATTGTCTTTGATTAATTGTGCTGGTAATCAAAAATCAGATTAACATGAAAACAGACCTGAGATAATAAACTGAAAACATGGACATACAACACATAAAATTAGAAGAAGTATTTAAGTATAGGAACTGCAAAGTGCAAAGCAGATTTGATCAATTTTCTGATTATTACATAAAAAAAATATTATTCCAAATAATGAGTAGATTTATCAGGACTGGACATGATTATTGAGTTGCAGCCCTAGTTGGAATTTTGTTTGTTTGTTTTTTGGAAGTGTGAGAAGGTTGCTGATTCTAGTTTTCAACAGCTTGATCACTTGGCACTCTGCTGTCGGTATTGTAGCTCAGCAGTCACGGCTAAAGGAGCCATGATGAATGCTAATAAGGCTGGGACACCCCACTCTGCTTCAGAGCACTATGATGACTCATCACTGTGTGATCACACCCTGAGATGATGGGAGCTGATCGATGACGGATGCTGGAATTCTGTTGTTTTAGTGACTGGGCATACTGGTAGACATCGGTGACAGACACTATTCTCCACTGTTCTCCCTCATTCCTCTCTTGTCCCTCCCTGCCTCCTCCACTGCTGCTGTGTTCCAAAATACAACCGGAGACAAATGCAGATCAGTATCTGTTTCCAAGGATACCAGGGGGCTGCTGCAAAGACTGCCGCAAAGCCTTTTCACTCATGCCATTGTGCTTGGAGACAATGGTTCTCAGAACCACCCCCCACCCGTCTTCCCTCCCAGTACACACTACTCTGCTCTCTAGGGTCAGGTGACAGATGCTCAGGGAAGCATGCACTTATTACTGTATACACAAAATATATTCTGCCCTCACTTGTTGGGGTTATTCAAAATTTCTGCAGTTTGGATTCTGTTGTCTTAATCAATTTTTCTGAGGAAAAAGATTTATTTTTAAAGTTACTGCAATGATGCTGTTAAGGAATATTACAGTTGTTGCTTTAAATGCCTCTTGCTTACACAGTGAGGGGCAGTCAGTCCTGTGCTTTACCTACTGATACATTTATAATTCCCTTAGCAGTCGTCAGCATGTAACCATAAAAATACAGTAGACTTGAATGGCAGTTGAGGCTTTTACTTTGATGCTCTGAGCACAAGCTGTATTGATTATTAGTATTTTTAGAATTTATTGTCTGAATAAATCAATATTTTTTGCTTCGGTGTTACTTATTGTTTAGGTTTAATGTTTAATTTAAGCTCATTTTAGTTGACCTCAAGTCATGTGATATGGCTAAAACAACCAAGATGATGGAAGGCACACTAAAAGATCTCAATAAAAAAAGAATTATTGCCACAAATAACTGACATTTTCAGAAAAAAAAACTTTTGTATATTATCATATCATATCCCAAATCTAAGCATCTGACTGACTGAGCACTACTGTGTGCATTTGTTCCAGGCGGCTCTAGCTGGTGGTACAACAATGGTGATTGGGCACGTTCTGCCGGAGAGGAATGAGTCGTTGCTGGAAGCCTATGAGAAGTGCCGCAGCTCAGCAGACTCCAAATCGTGCTGTGACTACGCTCTGCATGTGGGAGTTACTTGGTGGGGACCCAAGGTACCTCAGCACTGTGGTTCCCAGGCTACATGATACATTTTTTTTTCACACAACTGAAACAGCTAGCTATGGTCAGACTGTGATGTTTAGGAAATTGTCTGTTTATTTGTTTGTTCCACAGTGAGTAACAACCTACATTTCCCAGAATTCCTTTTTACAGTTTGTAACTCAGCTGTTAATATGTGTAGGTGGTCAACCTACATTTCCCAGAATTCCTTTTTAAAGCTTGTAACTCAGCTGTTTAATGGACTTAGAAGGATTCTGAGCATAAAAGCGAGACTCCTGCTATTCTTAAAATGTAAAATGCAAAGGATGCTTTGCAGGCCGAGAGAAGCTAGAGCTCATTTCCTCTCCCCCCTCTGGCAGGTGCGAGCTGAGATGGAGAAGCTGGTGAGAGAGAAAGGAGTGAATTCCTTTCAGATGTTCATGGCCTATAAGGACATGTTCATGCTGAGAGACAGTGAGCTCTTCCAGGCCCTGCAGCACTGTAAGGACATTGGAGCTATAGCAAGAGTCCATGCTGAGAACGGGGACCTGGTGGCAGAGGTGAGGCAGAATCCTTTCACCGTCTTCTCATTCATATTTCTGTGCATTATCATTTGAAGTAGTACACACAGATGAAACAAAATAAATGCTTGTGTTATTGTATTTTCCTGTGATTTTATTCTTTTACGAGTTGTTTCCAAATTAATTTTGAACTAGTTGGTTGTTTGTTATACATCTTTCCAGGGTGCTAAGGAAGTGCTGGACCTGGGCATCAGTGGCCCAGAGGGGATTGAAATCAGCAGACCTGAAGAGGTATGGTAGTCCGTCTGTGCCCGATTCTCTTTCCCACAGTCTGACTGCCAGTGACATTCCTTTTGATTACATCCAGACTCTAATCAGTTCCACACAATATTTTGTTTCTGTTCAGCTGGAAGCAGAGGCAACCCACAGGGCCATTACCATCGCCAACAGGGTGAGTGTCATCTCTCTAGCACAGTTAAGAAATAGAAAGTAGTCAAAAAGGAAGATTGCCTTTTTTATTATACCTCTCGTGTGTGTGTGTGTTTTCTGTTAGGCTCGCTGCCCAATCTATCTCGTCAATGTGTCCAGTATGTCTGCAGGAGATGTAGTGGCTACAGCCAAGATGCAGGGTGAGGCTCATATCATATTTGCTATTACCATCCTACAAGTAAATATGATAAAATGACATGATCAACTTTGATTTACATTTTAAATTAATAATTTACTGAGTGAAATTGGACATTTGCTTTTAAAATTTATTGATGTATTATAGTGCAACGCTGATTGACCATATATTTACAGATGATATAGATAACAATATAGTAAGTGGACTTCTGATCAATGACATTAGTGATCACTTACCAGTATTTTTAGTTTACGATTGCCACCTTAAGAAAAAAAAACAATGACTACACATGCTTATACAAGGTTGATCAATGATGAAACTAAAAGGTCATTTAAGGAGGACCTTTTGAGACAGAATTGGGATTTGATATATAGAGAAAAAGATTTGGATACAAGTTATGAGCACTTTTTAGTTATATTCAAATCGTTGTATGACAAAAACTGCCCAAACAAATTGATTAAAACAAAGAAGAACTTGGAGGTAAAACCTTGGATGACCAAGGGGCTATTAAATGCATGTAAAAAAAAGAATTTTTTATATAGAGGATGGATGAAAGATAGAACAAAGGAAGCTGAACTAAAATACAAGAAATATAAGAATAGATTGACTAATGTATTGAGGACTTGTAAGAAACAATACTATAATAAATTATTAGACAATAATAAAAACAACATGAGAGGTATTTGGAACATATTAAATAGGGTAATTAGAAATAATCATGGTAAGGAGAATTATCCTCATTATATTTTGGATGGTGATAAGTTGGTTAATAAAATGGAGGATATAGTAAATAAATTCAACGATTTCTTTGTTAATGTTGGGCCTGAATTAGGAAAGAACATTTGTGATAACGAGGTGTCCTATGGCACTATTGTTAATTTTATTGAAAAAAAATCAGCATTCTATGTTCCTTAAACCAATAGAAGAAAAGGAGGTTAGATATATAATTAATAAATGATAATAGGAGTTTTCGACTGATAGTGATGGAATAAACATGACCATCATTAAATCGGTAATTGAGGGTTGTTCCAGGCCATTAACTTTCAATTTGTCCTTCCAAAAAGGAAAATTTCCCAATTGTATGAAAACAGCAAAGGTTATTCCGTTATATAAATGTGGAGATAGGCATAATATTACAAATTATAGACCAATTTCTTTATTATCGCAATTCTCTAAAATCTTAGAAAAACTCTTTAATGCTAGATTAGATAAATTTTTGGACAAACATAAAATTTTAACTGAAAAGCAGTATGGTTTTAGATCTAATAGATCTACAGCGCTTGCAATTACTGAATTTGTAGAAGGTGTTACCAGTGCCTGGGACAACAAGAAACACACATTGGGGATTTTTATTGATTTTCAAAAGGCCTTTGACACTATTAATTTTGAAATTTTACTTGATAAATTGGAAAGGTATGGTATTAGAGGTTTGGTGCTGAAATGGATAAAAAGTTATTTGTCCAATAGACGGCAATTTGTAAGTCTGGGTGGGCATCAATCTGATTTTTTGGATATAGTATGTGGGGTCCCACAGGGGTCAGTTTTGGGCCCTAAACTTTTCATATTGTATATAAACGATATATGTTATGTTTCTGAATTATTGAACTTTTTATTATTTGCTGATGATACTACTGTATTGGCCTCTGGGGAAGACCTACAGCAACTTTTGGGTCTGATTACTCTGGAATTGGATAAGGTGAAGAAATGGTGTGACAGGAATAAGTTAT